TGTATTCAACTACCGCTTAACCATAAACTAAGATGTTGGCTTTTGATCAAAGCTGTAGTATTGGATTCTATCGCAGCGATAAAATATAATTCATCCTCCACAACTATGACTAGCAATTTCAATAAGAACCCGACACTTAGTCTTGCAGTAGCCACGTTAGAATTAATAAATAGAAAATCCACATCCTACCATAGTTATTACGGTTACACAAAACGAGCAGAAAATTTTAAAATTAAAAGCAACTTTTCAGTAATTATGGAAACTCAACGGCTGATGCGATACACGAATATAGAACTAATACACCACTGTCTAGATATGTTTAACAAACTACAGCAGAATAAAATTACAGATACTTGGAATCTGATTTCTGACTTGTTTTTTATAGAACGATTAGTGGACTCATGTAACATCTCGTGTCATGATACTAAGGCTCCAACTAGCCCACAACGTCAATCCAAACACATCTCAAGTTCTTTTTCTCAGTCAACTAGTCTCCCTTCGTTATATTATCTCGTTAACAAAAAGATATACAATAATGAAAATGCGATCAATGACACAAAGCGAAACGAACAATTTAGTAAGCTTGATTTATTTCTATAAATAATTTACACAAAATATTGATATAAACTACGAAATTCTAATGCTTTTAACAAGATTCTTAGTCACTACAGAAACTATATCGCAATTAAACAACGTACATCAGTCTTTAACAGGTTTTCAAATATTAGATCAATTTCTTGACAGAGGAATTCACAGTCACGCGTTTTTCGAAATTTACGTACGTTCAAAAATTAATACCTTGTAGGGCCCTCCTGGTTCTGGCAAAACACAGTTTGCCTTGACATTTTGCAGCTACCAGCTGCAAATAAATCGATATGTTAAAATATATTACTTTGTTACAAAAGGCAAATTTCCCATCCAGCGTTACCATTCTATAACAAAAAAACGTTGTCCAGATGAAATTTCGCTTAATCAAATATATATTAAAGAATTAAACGACATAGAAGAATTATATAAAAGCTTAAGAGTAATATTGGCAAACAAACCAAGTGAACACGCCATTTATATAGTAATCGACAGTCCAGTAAATCTACTTAACTACAACAGCGACGATGATAAATTTATCAGACGCGCAAAACAGATCATTAAACTCAACGTTCTACTCCGAAAATGTAGCGATAAGCATAAAACGTATACTTTAGTAATTAACAATGTGCAGTTCGACGACACACCTGCGCTTGGGCTGTTATGGCGCTCGCTTGTAAAAACACAGATTTATCTCGACGGCGAAAAAGCGATTATACAAACAAATGGTTTTTCGCAAAAAAAAATGTAAGTTACAAAGCGTAAAAAATATTTTCTAGTCTATATTATCGCGTTACAAACGAGGGTTTCGAATTTGATTTTTAAAAAATCAGAGGACTTAACAAATTAATTTTTCAATTTTATAACAAATAAATTAATTTCATTTATACAAAATGGGTAAGTGTGGTAAAGGTACCGGTTCGAGAGGTTTGCACAACAAAAAAACCCATCAAGACTGCAGAAGATGCTCCAAGCATGCTTTCCACATTCAAAAGAAGAAATGCGCTAGCTGTGGATACCCTGACGCTAAATTAAGAAGATACAATTGGTCCGAAAAGTCTATTAGAAGAAGAAGACGAGGAACCGGCCGAATGAGAACCATGAAAAACCTCCCTAGAATATTTAAAAATGTCTTGTCCAAGGTTTCTTTATAAATCTGACGATTAATAAATTTATCTTTTTACCTTATGCAACTATAAATTTATTTTTGTTATTTTATTATTATTTAGCTTTATAACCAAATTTTAGAACTAGCGTGAATAAAACTTTTATAATCCAAAATTTCAAATTGATAGATGCAATTTTGACCATTTGATTTTGCTGTTATAGGTTAAACTTTTCAGGTTGCAAATACCCTCGGAAATATGATTAGTCAATTTTACTTGAAATGCAAAGTTTGGAAAGTAGTTTTGACAGAACAGATTGCGAGCACCGTCTATGAAGACCAGTTTCTGTATTTGCTCATAGTGTTATTTATTGGAGTGTTATCACTGAGTAAGTCCGAATTCTGGAACAGTTTTAGGATTTTTCACACTTTCGATGTGGTTCAAAGGCTTTAGCCTGTATCTTCAAGTGCCCAGCAAGAAGTGCAAGCTCCCGTCATATACGAGCGATGCTCCGCCTAGATTCGTCAATTTTAGTAATCTGGCAAATTTATCACCTACTGTTCTGGTATCTATAGTCAACACCAGTATTGTCTGCTGCTTAGTCTGTATTTCGTACCAAATACTGTCCAAACTTTTTGAAAAAATTTTCATTGTACGTTACTCTCGAGGTAAATTTGCATCAAACTACATTTTTTTCGGGCTCATAACCATATCTGCAAGGTTGATCTTTTTCATTTCGCTTTTGTTGTTTTTTTTCCACACAGGAGTCATTACTTACTACAGAGCTAGAAACTTTTGTTCGGACTACATACCTCCTAACGTGCGAAACCAAATGTACCAGTGTTACAAGTTCCATCAAGACTGTGCCAAAATTCTAGACCTGAATTTTCTGTCCAATTCGCGTGCGTATTGCAACGACCCAGAAATAAGTAAGCAGTTTTCGATTTTGCACGTAGAGCCAGACTCCCCTTTCTCGCAAAGAGACGTTTTATGCAATAACACTAAATTTCTCACGAAATTGAGCAACCACAGTGACTTTTCCTCCGAAGCTGATCGGATAAACAGCGCTATAACAAAGCTCAAGGAGAAATCTTTGCCCAATAACGTAACTTTAACGAGACTCTCTGTGCCGGCTAAAATTTTTTTGAGTTCTTCGATTGGAATATTCCCGATCATTACCAACACTGATAAAGCCTTAGTTCAGAGAAATATTCAAGCTCATTTTCAGTCTTCTATGTCGTTTGATCCACTTTTCATTTTCCTCAACAATAAAATCTTATCGAAAACCAATGAAAACTCCAAAAACAGCGATATGATACTCTATTATCTGCTACTCACATTTGAGGAAATTTTCTTTACGCCTGATCTAGCGGATGAACTCGCAAGGGATAACCGTGAAACCGAAGGTTGGTTTCCGTTCAAAACTCAGTATTATCACGAAAAAGAAATTTCAGACAAATATCAGAAAATGTTCCGGGACATCCCTTTCGTGACGCCCATCAACACAGAAATAACGGACTATTTGATTGCGTTTTTTTGTTTAAACATTTTGTTTTTCCCCTTCAAACGCACGTTTGATTATGTAAAAAATATATATTTCACAAAATTTGGACCGTAATTTATTCCGACAATTTTCAGCACAGACATACTAAGAAACTAAGCCCGAGGGTGTTATGTCAATATACAAAAAACTGAAATCTTAAGCGTTTTTTATTGGTTGCGTGAGGATTGGTATGCTGCTTGAAAATCACGACGACACTTTTGCTTGGGCGTTATCAGAACTGGAAAAATACAAAACGCAACCTGAGTACAATTTCAAATATTCTAAATACCTTACCTACGTAAGCCAATGGTTTGACAAGCGTCCGTTCGACGGTTTGCACTTCAACACCACTACGACGGAAAAAACTGCTCAACTTCCTGCCACAGAAGAAAAAAACAAAGACGCAGACGAGTCTAAAAGTCAACGAATAAACACAAAACTCGAGCCTGAGCTCGAAACCGCCAAATGTTACGTCGAAGCCGAAGTTCCAACGGCCGCTGTTCTTGTAGGCAAAACAAACGTTTTAAACGCGGACTCGGTGCAAAAAAGCACTTTGTTGAATAACACTATTAGTACTGCAAAAAGCATTTATGATTCGCTTGGTTGTAATTCCGCACAACCAATACTAGATCATAAACGAAGCATTTTTTCTGTTTCGAACAGCCAATTAACATATGGCGATCAGCAACTGATGGACGTTTGGCAAAACAGCAGTTTGGTGGCTCAAGAGCATTTTCTAGAAGAATCTTTTTCATATTGTATAATGTGTGCATCGAAAGAGTACATGCTTATCGTAATTAATACTGTGTCGTACATTGTTTATTCGTACAGTTTGCTTTCTGAGAAATGCAAAATTCTTTTTGACTCTGACAAGTACCTACTGATACACTATCAAGATAAGCCCAAACTGGAAATTCTGATTTTCGAAGATTTAATGCTGCGAGTCTTGTATGTGAATCAAACTCAGTCTGTGTTTGGCCGGGAAATTTGTGTTTTCAAAGTTCATGAAATTGACGAAAAATGTTTGATTGCGTTAGCAGCTACAGGCAACAACTATTGCGTGATCACAATTGAGCAAAACTGCGACAACTTCTCGCCCTTACAATGGATGTTTGGAGACACTAATAGCCTTGGTTCAACTATGCTGAACAAAGTGTACAACAATTCGCTGCTCGTCTTCTCGTTATTTTCTCATAGAAACCACTTTATAGCTTCTTTGAACACGCTAGCCTCGTTAAACTTGTTTTCAAACTTTTTAATCGCGTGGAGACAAAAGTACCACTTGGTTTTTTGCAAACAAAAAAACAGCCTGAACAAACAATACGAAGAAGTCACGACTGTGTATCAACAAATAAAAAAGTTAGCACAAAAATTTCCGGAGCGCAATAAAGCCGTGAGCATTTTCTGGCACTCTGTGCAGCTGCATAAAATCAGCCTAAGTCACTTGGACATTTGCGAGGTATTTTGTTCAGCATTACAGATATCGCCAAAACTCACGCAAATCTGCAAACGCATCGTGAGCGGCTGTGAAGCGTCCATAGCAATGAAAAATTATTATACAAATTTAGATTTAACCGACATACAGGAATTTGTAAAAGAACACAAAACCTCGCAAGCAGAAAGCGCACTTATTGATACCGTTATTTTTATTTACATAATTTGCATTTCTTTATACAAATAACGAAACTTTAAATAAATTCGAGAATTCACGCTTTCAAATTTAATTTAATATTACCAAAAATACGGCATTGTAAAACAATGTAAAAATGAACAAGGATGTAGATGATGTAAAGCCTGCACAACAAAAAGCTTCAATGGACGAATTAGTCAAAATATTCCAGAACGTACAGATAGATGAGCTTCGTTCTCAGGCTTTGCTTGATTTACTGAAATATCGCGAAACGTTTCCAGATTTCGCATGCTACATATGGTACTCGTTCGGCACGATGTCGGCGATAATCAGCGAAATCGTTTCCATCTACCCCGCTCTGGCGAATAACAACGTTTCTTCGATTCAGAGCCACCAGATTTGCGGCTGCCTGACACTTATGCAGTGCGTAGCGAGCCACCCTCAAACGAAACATCATTTTTTTTCGGCTCAACTCCCTTTGTACTTGTACCCGTTCTTGAGCGTTCCGGCAAGCAACAGCACAGCTATTGAGTTCCTTCGACTTACTGCCATAGGGGTTCTCGGCGCTATGGTAAAAGGAGAAGATAAAGACGTTTTACAGTATTTACTCCGGAATGATATTTTGCCTCTTTGTTTACGAATCATCGAAACGTGCAGCGAACTACCTCGAAACGTTTCTACTTTTATCATACATAAGATACTGTCTTACGAAGAAGGATTAAACAATTTATGCAGCACACCAGAATAATTTTTCGCCATAACCACAGTGCTCAAAAAAATCCTAGAAAACGAGAAACAAGACATTTCTCCAAGGCTGTTTAAACATATCTTGCGATGTTATTATAAGTTGGGCCAGCACTCATCGGCTAGACAGTCTTTAAAAGTGGTGTTACCACAGTGTTTGCTAACCTGTCTCAACACTGGTTTTTATGATAATTTAATGCAACAAGATCAATTAATTTATTCATTAATACAAAAAATTTTAGATTTGACTTTTGAAAACGACTAACGAAATTACTTTCTTTTTCGTAAAATCAATATATTAAACATTCTATTTATTTTTAATAAATAATTTACATTTATTTTCAATTTCCGTCCGCAACTCGGGTCTATCAGGATTGAAAGCATAGTTTATTATCTTATCGTCTATTTTTTTCCTATTTTCTTGAAGTGTCGCAAGCAGTACATTGAGATGGTCAATTAACACTTGTTTTACCTCACTTGTCAGCAGTTTTCCACTTGCGTAGTCGGTTTCGATTTGCTTTAGTTTTTCATCGTTGTCTAAGAAAAATCGCAAATATTGGATGCTGACGTCTTGCTCAATGTTTGCTCCGTATTTACGGTGTTCTTCAATGGTCTGACGACCTCCTGAAAATGCATACTTTCTGATCTTTTTCGCCACAGTATCAGGAGCGTCATTTATGAAAATAGCTGATGAAGTAGTGCTTGAGCTCATTTTGGACTGCGAACCTTGGAGGGCGGGAACAAAAACACCCAGCAGTAGAGAGGGTTTTGCGTAATCGAGCTTGGGAGCGACATCCCTCGTCATACGGAAGTAAGGATCTTGGTCGATTGCGCATGGAACCAAACACCTGAGCACTTTCGTGTATTTTTCGTCTCCTAAGAATTTAGGAAAAACACAAGGGAAACAGGGAGCTGCTTGGATTGCTGGAAACGCAATAGTACCAATAGAAGAGCTCTCGTTGAATCCGAAAATTCCTTTGACCTGATTGAAAGTGACGTTCTTTTGAATTTTTAACATTGTCGGATATAATTCCTTGACGTAAGACATATTGCTGAAAATAAATGTTTTGTTTATGTTCAAGCCGCAAGATAAAATATCCTTGACATTTTCAACACCCATTTGCACTGTTTCTTGCAACGTGAGATCTTTCTTAAACAAGAACTTTTCGTCATCCGTCAATTGAATTACTAAAGGACAGTCAAATACGTCTTGTAGCCACTTTACTAGAAAAAATGGCAACAAATGACCTAAGTGAAGAGACTCACTACTTGGTCCTCTACCTGTGTAAAGATAAAACGGTATGTTTTTGGTCTTGCATTCAAGAATCATTTCTAAATCGCGATGCGAAAAAAACAAACCCCTACGTATGAGGTAATGAACTTTTTGTCCAATCACAGATTCGAATTTAGCAATTAATGCTTCATCAATCAAAGAACAACCAAATTGTTCAACTAATTTAGTGTAATTAATACTGTTTTCTTCATTTGTTACTTCCCATGGCGTAACTGTCATTATTGCAGCTCTAATTTGTTTTTATAATTTTCAAAAAAGAAAATTCTTTTTGAAAATAATTTGCTAGAAAAAAAGTAGAACTTTTGAAAAAGAAAGAATTAAAAATTCAAGTTGATCTTCAAAAAGTTGCATCCCGTTTATTTGTCGTATATCTTCTTCACTAAGTTGGTTTGTCATATACCTGAGCTTTTCAATACATTCAATTTCGTAGTTTTGCCGTTGCAAGAGATTTATAGCACATTTGTAAGAATATTTTTTAAAGTAGTCTTTTGCTATATTTATGTTTGTTCCGTAGTAATACATTTTTTTCTGAATCGCGTCATTGGATGAGCTGTCTAGCAAATGCACTTTTACCAAGTCAGTTTGAACCAATTTGGCCAACAGTTGCCGAGTCGTATTAATAGGATTAATGGAGTATTCACTCAATTCAATGTCTGTCCACAGCCTTTTGTACTGAAAAAAAACAGAAACTTCGTTTATGCCAAGCTGATATGTTTTTGAGTTCATAATATTCTTCATGATGTTATTTTCGTCTAGCACAACTTCGAAAATGCGTGCACATTGATTTCCATACCGTTTTTCTAAATGTTTATAAATGGTAAATCGTTGAATAAATTGAAAACAAGCATTTGTATCGAGCACGATACATTGCTCTTTATTATATAGTTGTTCTGTCCATATTCCTGAACTGTCTGACATTAAAGTAGTGAAAGTATTTATTAAGTAAGTGACTGAAAGAACTTCAATGGCTGGCGTGTTGTTAGGTTTTGAATCGAGCTTGTATATTCTATCGATGATTTCCGTTATGCTGTAAGGTTGAGCAACCACTTTAGAATTTATTATTTTAACCGAATCAATAACGGTTGAAATAATTATTTTTTCAATTTCACTTGTTGCAAATTTAGGAAGTAAAAAATCGCGTAGCACTTCTTTTAAGAAAAGTAGAGACATATAAGAAATATTCACACAAAGGTTGTAATTACAGATCGTGTCAAGTACATTTCTATGTTTACTTAGTGTCTGTTCTTCATAACTTAAAACCTTGTTGATGAATTCGTTTTCAATCAATTTGTCTAAATTGATTTTTAGATAATCGCTAGATATATCTAAAATATTAGCTGGATATAGAAAAAAAAATGTATTATTCGTTAAGTGCAAATAATATAACTCAAACAGTTTGCTGGCTGAAACAGTTCCGTGCGTAAGTAAAATTGTGAACAACACATACTCATGTGGGCCGAATAATTTATTAATTATTTCTAAAAAAAAAGGATATTTTAAAATTGAAAAGAGTTTGTCTTTGTCGATTTTATAAGTCAAGCTTGCTTTATTGGAAGAATTTTGAGTATAGTTAATTTCTACAAGCGCATGTTTGATCAGCAAAATCAGTGAATATTTGCAAATTGGATACGACAACTTTGAAACTTGCTGTATATTGGATAAAGTTATGTCGTTCTCTTCTAACAAAACTTTTATGACTCGAGACACATGGCTGCCAAACCAAAGATATGAAAGTTGGATCAGTAAAATTTCATAAAATTCCATATCAGGCTGACTTTTACTTAGTTAAGTTTAATTAAGAACATTATTTAGAATTAATAATTCTAAATAATGTTATTTGTTATTATTTGTATTTAACTATGAATAATCTCTCTTTTTCTAAGACAGAGGCAACAAATCAACTACGAATAAATAACCCATGTAAATAAAAAATATACTTAATATAAATACTAAAGATTTGAAAATAGTGCAGATTGATTCGATAAATGTCTCATCAAGATAATGATTTATCATTATGGCACTAACAATGGCTGACAAAAGTAACACAACGGAACAAGCTATCTTAAATTGCTTAGCGCTTGATTTAAAAGATTTTTTATAGTCATCGTTGAGAAGTGCATACATGGTCTCATCTGAGCTGGACAATGAATGAGTTCGTCTGAGCTTTTTGAGTTTGAAATTTAACTTATGTCGGTCAAACGAACTACTGTACGACCTTGCAATTATCATAGTTGAAGGTACAGCGATAATATTATTAAGTTTGTAATTTGAATCTGTGTTTTCTGTATTAATAAGATTTTTGGGTAATTTAAAAATAAATTTGCTACTGTTGAATAGACTAATTTCATCAACCACATTGCTCTTTTTTGCCCGATCAAATACTTGCTCGATAAAACATTTTACTTTTTTGCTGATCAAAGTAGTGACTTCTTCAGTAATAAGATCATGAGTGGCGAAAAACAAATCGTAGTTATACCGATCGAGCACTGAAATAGTTGTAGCAGGACTATTATTATCGCGTGTAATATCATAAGCATTTGAAGTTTCTAATTTCAGTAAGTTATCAGACATAAATTGTAAAGCCGGACAAGATACGTTATTTTGAAAGTTCTTTGTATCGTTGTTTTTTGAAAGTCCTGTAGAAGATTGATTAATTGATTGCGTCTCTATTTCATTTAGGGCATATTCAGAAGAGAAAACTAAAGATGATTTTACCACGGGAAACTGTGTTATATCTGGTGAGTTGGGCAGCTTGAAAATTTTTTTAGAATCCACCGGAGTATCATTCGATTCAATAGATATGTGGGAAGTAACGTTTGGATTTGTATCAAGCTTTTCCGACGCTCCGTTTTTTCCATTTATTTCGAGAATTTTTGTAGCATCAAACTTTACTATTGCTACAAGTGCGTTTGCTAAAAGCGAAAAGCAACTTTGAACTACGCTTCTCTTAATCAGTTTGATTTTCATCAATTTATTATTGTGAAAGTATCAAAGCATATTACATGTTTATTTCAAATTTTTATAAAAAAAAAAAACTTTGCTTACAATAATAATACATTTAAACGGGGCAAAAAAATTGTATTTCTTGATTATATATAAACTTCGAAATGTAGATATAAAAATAATTTGTACTGTAATTCGCAAATCTATAGCTGAATTTCAAGCAAAAAGGAACAGAAAATCAGTTAAATTGTAATTAGTAAATGAACAGTGAGAAAAGTAAGCACGAGAGATGACTGATTCGGTTCGTTGTGGCAAAAAAGCACACTTTGCTGAAAATTATCAAACTTTGTAACATAACAATTCATTGATCTACTTAAGTTCTCTTTTTGATTTCTTTTTTTTTTAAAACATATATACGAGTAAAAAATTAAAATGTGAAATAATCTAGGAAATTCTTTCTACTTTAATATGACGTTGAAAAAATTTTTGAAACTGTTTAAAATACGTATCTAATATCAAATACTAATAAATTTTTAAAACTTATTGAAAACAAGGAAATGATAAAAAGTCGAGCAGACTCTTTTGTCATTGCAATGATTTAATATAATAACACTACGTTAAAAGGTGGTTATTGCTTTATGCGTGCTTCCAATGTTTTTATAACCAAATAAAATTTTTTAGATCACGAAGTTAATAGTATATCATTTACTTTTAATTGTTTTTATATAAATGACGAACCAAAAGTTGTTAACTGAGCCGTAACTGAAACCATGCACGTTTGATCATCAGTTATTTATCCTGGCTCATTTTAAAACAATCGCTCATTAAACATCGTTATACATATGAATGACCGGTCCATATCTTATTTTTATGGTTTGTTCGCATTAATTACTCACGTGTTTTTTTTTAAATTACTAGACATAGTAGTCTGAATATTATTTGCCAGAGTCAGATGAATATTTATTTACACCCACACCAATTGATATTTATTAGAAATTTTTTTGATCTGTTGCGACAAATTAATAAATGATCAAAATGTTTTTTTTTGGTATTAGATTTTTTAAAACCCTATAATAAATTTCATTCTAAGTTTAAAGTTTAGTTATATAATGTGTGTAAATAAATATTTACAAAATAATTCCGCGTAAATTAATACTTATAACACAAATATCTATAAAATAATTTTGGAATATATTTTTTTGAAACGCATTATTAGTAATTTATAATAATAAGATTTTTTAGTTTAGATAATAAAAATGTGCTCGCTTGATAACATTCAAAACGTTAGAGACACTGATTTAAAAGGATCTCGAGTGTTGGTTAGAGTTGATTTTAACGTTCCGCTTAAAGACGGAGTGGTTGATGACAACACTAGAATCGTTGAGTCACTTTCAACAATCAATTTGATTTCCGAAAAACAAGCAAAGAAAGTAATTTTGATGTCTCACTGTGGACGACCCGATGGAGTTAGAAACCTCAAATATTCTTTGAAGCCGGTTGCAATAGAATTAGAGAAACTGATGAACCGTGAAGTCATTTTCTTGAATGACTGTGTTGGCAAGGACGTTGAAGAAGCCTGTGAAAAAGCTCCTGAAGGATCAATAATATTACTTGAAAACTTACGTTTCCACCCCGAAGAAGAAGGAAAGATAGTAACAGAGGAAAAGAGAAAGATTGCTTGTGAGCCTGAAGCCGTGGCCGAATTCCGCAGAAAACTTTCACGATTAGGTGATGTTTATTGCAACGACGCTTTTGGAACTGCCCATAGAGCTCATTCTTCCGTTGTAGGGGTCGATGTACCGATCAAATGCGTCGGCTTATTGATGGAAAAGGAAATATCATTTTTCAACAAAGCATTGAACTCACCAGAGCGACCATTCTTGGCTATTCTCGGTGGAGCCAAAATCAGAGATAAGATTGCTCTGATTGAAAACCTTCTTGACAAAGTTGATTGCATGATTATCGGTGGAGGTATGGCATATACATTCCTCAAAGTATTATACAACATGCCCATTGGAAACTCTTTGTGGGACGAGGAAGGAAGCAAAATTATACACAAGATTATGGATAAAGCAAAGGAAAAGAATGTCCAGATATTACTTCCAAAAGATTTTGTTATCAGCAGCAAGTACGGTGAAGACGGTATTATAGAATCTGCGACTTTTGAAACTGGTATCAAAGACGGATTTGAAGGTTTAGACTGCGGTCCCAAATCACGAGAAGATGCAGCTAAATTGATAAAGAGCGCAAAAACTATTATATGGAACGGCCCACAAGGAGTTTCAGAAATGGCTAGTTTCGCTGCTGGATCACTTGCGTTCGTCGACGCCGTTGCCGAAGCAACTGCAAATGGTGCTCTCAGCATAGTCGGTGGTGGAGACACAGCCGCTCTCGTCAGAAGAGCAGGAGCAGTTGAAAAAATGAGCCATATCTCAACTGGTGGTGGGGCATCTCTCGAACTCCTTGAAGGTAAAGTTTTGCCAGCTATCAGATATTTACAAAAACCTAAAACACAAGCTTAAATGTCGTTTTGGCTACATTTTCATTAGTTATATTTTTTTAAAAGTATGTTGGTGATTATTGTTTTGTCTATTTTTTTGTTCCTTAATCGATAAATTAATATTATTTTTCGTCATGACAAAAGAAATCTTGAATCTCAAAGAGTTTGTCGAAGCTTGCATTTTTGGCTGTGACAAAATTCGCAAAACTATCCGTGTCGTTGAGCACAGAGAAAACAACAAAATTATTACCAAGTTTAAGTTGCGAGGACGCAAATACTTACAAACATATATAATGAGGGATCGTGAAAAGGCAAAAAAACTTTACAACCACTTATCAGATTACTGTGATGTAACTAAAGTCGTCAGTGCTAAACGTTTGAGAAAGTAAATTACAAACTAAATCTTTGTACAAACTCAACTATACAATCCGTTTCGATAACTCGTTCAGTTTGATTAAGTTTTCGTTTTATTTGATACATGCTTTATTAATTATTTTATAGATAAATAGAGTAAAATTTAAACATATAACAGTTATAAATACATGTATTTTCGAAGCGTATATAAAAAGAACCTATTAGTAATCAAATGCTGCTTTAGCCACAGCTAGTAAAGCCGATGCAGGTGTAATTAACGGTTCAGAAACTACATTTGGATTGTTCAATACGACCCCTATAGATTCTCTACGTCTTTTGCATATTCTAATATTAACATATAAACTTTCAAACTGCTTTATGGTTAGAGCCCAAAGTTGAGCAGTTCTTTTTTCGTTTATATCTGTATTTAACAATGAAATCAGAGCAACCGACACATAGTCTTCAAAATGATGTTTTATTAGTAGTATTAAATTGCACATGGTGACCGTGAGCTTTTGTTCAAGTCGAGATATTTTATGAGCTAACCTGTCTGGACCTAGCAATGGTGTGTCTTCAATAAACTGAGCTTCTGCACACCATCTGTCAAAAGCCTTAGAAATATCGTGATAGGATTTTTCTGATATAGTGTCATTTTTTGACTGAATAAAATTCAGCAATAGATCTATTGTATGATTCCGAGCTTCGCTGGGTAAAGTTAATAGTCTAATATATTCATTCCTCGTTTCTCGATTAAGAATAGCTTCTTCATCTAAATCGATCCACTTTACACCTTTTATAGTGGCTGAGTCTTCTATTTGTTCTGACTTTATAACATCGGTGTAATCTATCAAAGATTCAATGATTGCTTGTTTTTCAGTGCTGATTTTTGATTGTACTTCCCAAAATTTCGACAATGAAATGACCAAGGCTGCAGTTAAAAATTTGTTCATCTCATTGTCATTTATGTTGTTTTCTTTTTTCAGCTCCTCTATGGCGGATACGTATAATTCGGTTGTCGGATCGCCATATTTCAATAACATTAACAATCCAATGCTTGTTACGAGGTAATTCAATTCTTCCTCGTAACCTTGAATTGTAGTTGGCAATATTAGCTCGACATTTGTAACCATGCTTGTTCTTCGAAACTTAATTTTGTCATAGTAATTACTTTTGCTGGCATTTTTCCAGGCTAAATAAACGTTGACTATGTCTGTGCAAACTTTTTTGAGATCTTCTCTATTTGTTAGGTAACATTCTAATAGTTGACTCCATTGTACGATAAGTTTTATCATTTTGTTTCTTAAAAAATCAGTTTCATCGCTGTCAACATCCGCATAAGCTAAAATTTGAGATTTGCGTCTGTGACCAGCTGTTTCAGTCATGATGATGTAATATTATGACAAAAACAATATAAGCTTGGTGCATTTGTGACACATTTCTACCAGCTCAACCTATGAATTATTAAACGTTTATACCGTTAACTAATTAATCATTTTACTATGTAGCTTTAATATTTGTTTATAGATTTGTTTGACTATGTTTCGAATTTTGCTTTTATTGCTAGAAATTTCGTCCGGGTGGTGCCAAACGTACAAAAGCCTTTCTCCACATTTCGAATCTTTGATAAAATTTAGTGGAATTGTAAATTCACTTAGAATATCGTAAATTTTGGTTCGTATAGCCAAACTTGCAATCACAATATTGTTTTCTGTCGAAACGGGAGAAAACAGCCAGTCTGTCAAATAGGATATTAAATCCCGTGAGAGCAGTGAGTATAAAAACGTAGAATCCTTAATTTTAGTCTCTAAAATATCTAAGAATTCGAGTCGGTTCAAGGCTATTTTATTTTTTTCCAGAAGAGCCTTGTCTTTAGTGCAAGCGATGTGCATACTTTTTAAAAGATTAGCGCTGGTTTGTTGAAATATTTCGTGAGAGACTCCTTTTTCTAATGTTTCTCGGAGTTTCTTTCGTTTTGATACAAGTTCATCGAAATTCGATGAGACCGATCTATTCGACAGATTGGTTTTAACTTCATTGTATTCGGGAATTATATATTCTTCCGGTAAAATTTCTTCTTCAGACGGCACGTACTCTTCGTCGGAATCTTTATTCGTTGTCTGAGCTGGTTCGTCGCCAAACAAAGAATAATCATTGCTTTCCGAGGAAGCGATTTGAGCAGTTTCTGTTTTTTGACTCTCAACTTGATTAGACATGCTACAGCATAATAAAATCAACACAAATCGACAACTAGATTTTTGTAACAACAATGAGAGCAAAACTTTTTAACCGTTATGTATGTTTTTTTATTCTAACTATTACTGTTATTTTTTTTCTGTAGAAAAATAAATATTGTTATTCACGCGAAATGGCTGAAATCGATCATTTGAAAGGCTACTTGTCTAAATATATATGTTCTTTAACATCGTTGTCTAAGGCTAGTAGTTTCGACGAATCGGTCCAACTATTTTTAGAAAAGTCAAATATTTATCAATATCGTGTTCATTTATTGCGTTTAACAGCTTTATTTATTTCTGATCATTCTCACTTTAAAATGTATCTATCAACAGTCGAGGAAATTATTGACAGTGGAAGTGAAACATTTGAAAACGAAGCTATTATATATTTTTCTGTTGATTATATTGACCAGCACTTATTTTTGTTTAAAAATGCTTTTGAATATTCATATGGATTAAAAGCCATGTCTCAATGGCTAGCGCTCGTCCATACATTGATATGTCAGTTAGTTGGAAACAGACAGCAATTATTGTTACGTTATCAATTAGGTGTTCAATTATTCATGGCATTTCTCAAAGTAAATAAGACGATACTTGAGCTGTCGAATAAGTGTTTTCAGATAATTGATTCATTTAAAAAAAAACATATTCTTGATCCTCAGTTTTGCGGATTTTTGGAACAAGCACTTAATGGAAATGTAAAATGCTTACCTCAGCTGCTGGATTACTGCTTATTTCAGGCGGGCGCTTTTTTTGTCGCAATTAGAGAATTTTCACTAAACGGCCAAGAGACACATAAAAATCTGCTTTTAGGTAATCCTACACACGAAAAATTACTTACTAAATTAAAAGAACTGTTAAACCAAGACTTGTTTAAGACAGACGATGTTGAAAATCACAAATTCGATTTTCTCAGAGGCATAAACGAAATTCGAAATATAGACTTTGATCAACTCAAGCTGTTGCTCAACGAGTTGAAACAACAAAAAAGTCAAATTTTAACTACTGCAAAAAAAATTTTATGTCAGAAAGAAGCACAAAAGCGATGCGACTCTTTACAAATTAAAGTAAGTTTAAAAAAAAAAATTTTTTAGTATTCTCTGATTGAGCTTTTAGATCACATTCATCTTTACTATTGTCAAGTGTTGAGTAAGTTGGCTTAGTGCAATACTTTGTGCCAAGCTATGCAAAAATAAACTAGTTCTGCTACTTAATTTCTGCTATTCTAAGTAAATTAGTTTTTATTTTAATAGGAATATAAATTAAGAAAAAAAACGAAAATGACAAAATTTTAGTAGAGTTGATTTCCACGCACAGTTTAGAGAATTGCATTAATGAATTATGATAAAATAACCAATACAACATGTACGTACAAAGTTTAGCGTATAGATTTTAGGCTCTGTTTGCAGGATTATTGATAGTAATTTGCGGCTACAGGTGTTATCAGATTTAGTTGCACAGATACTTCAGAAAGAAAACAAAAATAAAATTAAAAACCGTTTCGCCACGCGCGAGCTAGAATCCCCGCAGCTATCGCTAAATTTATCCGTTTGTGTTTTATGTAGTTCTTTAGAACATTGCATTGCACAAACAAAATCATTGTTGAAAATTCTGAAAAAACATGGTCTCAATTACGACGTCTTTTACATTGGACAGAGCGTTACAGTTGATGAACTTATAAAAACATTCACAAGTTTAAACCCAACAATCATGGTTTTTACATACAGCAGTTTTTATTCATTTCTCGAACTTATTAAAAAAAGAACTGCTTTTAGTATAAAATATTTACACGCCATACTGTGCACAGAAACTGATACCAGCTTCACTCTGTCGCCAGGTAAGCAAAACACTGCGTTTAAACGTTTCGTCAGTTCGCTTTTTTTGTTTCCAAAGTTAATCTTTCTAAACTTTTGGGTTTCAGTAAAAAATTTATCATGTCTTTTAAACACATTGGACTTTCAAAATGAAGACAGAATGTGCGGCGAAAACACAATGAAATGTTTCTATTTTGAATTTGAATCTGGAACTTCCGGCGAAATTGTCGATATTAAGGAGGTTCTCCTCATGTGTCCTGAGTATAGGGTTCAGTATGTTGATTTACCGAATATTATTAATCTGTCTTTTAAGTTTCGATTCAAATCACACGTGTTCGTAATTAGTACAAAAACTGAATTAGCTTTGGAAAAACTTATTTTGATCATGTTTTCAGTTTTTGGCTCTAAAAGGCTCGAGGCACATACAGAAAAATTAGTTCAAAATGGTTTAGCTCTAAAGTCGATGCTGCAAGGCGATGCTGCTTTTACTAAGTGGGCAGACTTTCCAGCAAAATTGCTTATACTCTTGTTATTGATAAAAATAATCAACATATGCGCTGATTTCAGCGCTTCCAAAATTATATTTGAAAATAACTTTTACATAGCAAAATTAATTTATCTGCTTTTTGACAATTTAAAAGAAAAATGTTATTTGTTAACAGGGAAAAACAATTATTACAGAAGATTAATTTCTTTCTGTTATTATATGGACCAAAAAGATATAAGTATTGTGAGTTCAGACGTTTTATTTCGTTGTATAAGCGTGGATAAGCTCGACGCAAAAATCCATTTTGAGCTGCCTTATGAAAAAGAAACGTTTTGTTCACGAATGTTGCAATGTGATCAAACTGTAGACAACTTCTTCATTTTAAGAGAAGAAGACGAACTGATGACTTACAAGTTTCTGAGCAGTCAGCTAAATTATGAGTCAAATTTTCATTTTCTATAAATAATCAATTAATTTATTTTTAATTAAATTCATTGTGATTATAAAAACATTAAAACTCAATTCATCAACAGTAAATCTACAATAATAGAGTATACACTTACGCCTTTTACTTTCCTAAACTCTGATAAAATCGTTTTTTGAAAACAATGCAATGAACGAAGAACTAAGTCTGACGGAATCAATGACAATTAGAGCATTGAGAAACACCATTGATGACTCTATCAAAACGATTCAAGAACTGAAAGCCGCTTTGCTAGCTTCTCACACTAGGGAAGAGTTTTTAGCGTTGAGCGAAGAGCTGAACAATGCTAAAGCCTCGATATCAAGTCACGAGGCGACAGAAAAAAGCTTGCAAAACAAAATAAAGACTTTATCTGACGAAAACACTGACTCTAAAGAACTGCTTTATTACATTTTTGGTAAAGTAAACGAACTAGTCAAGGCTGTGTTTAACAGTAAATTTTTGAAGGAGAAGGCCGATATTGCTGTTTCGTTTGAAAAACTTTTTTCAAAGTTGTCAAATTTGAGTGAATCTAAATTTTTATCCAAAGATGATTTTATCTCATTGTTCGATTGTTCGAATAAATTTTTGACTTTTGTATTGGAAAAAATAAATGAAGACTACAACACAGAAATTGCCTTGCTACGAAAAAAAATCGATGACGAAAAAGCAGTTCACAGCGAACAGAGAGCGCATTTATTACAAGAAATCGCTGACTTGGACGCCAAGCTTGTCAAACAGCAAGAATGTTACAAGAAGCTTGAATCATTTTCCCAGGATCAGTTTGAACAGATTTCTGCCTTCAAGCAATTGAAGCAAAAGCTCCATAGCTTGTTAAACCTTCCAGCGTCAGAAAATCTAAATCAGGACATAAACGGCATAACCGCCAGAATTGATAAACTTTGCTTAAACGTTTTAGACTTGGATAAACAAAACTCTGATTACATCGAACTGAACGCAGGCTTAAAGGTCGAATTAAATACAAAGTCTGAGCAAATTGCTTCTTTGAACTTAGCGTTGAAAGAACTCACTGTCAACCATTCAAACGTCGTCGCACAACGCGACGAATACAAATTACAATTCGAGCGTAAGATCAAACAACTAGAAGAGTACAAAGAACTTGTTTTGCAAATCCAAAAACCCTTAGAAAAAGAATTGGAAGAATCCAATCAGTATCTCAGGTCATTTAGCAGTTGCGGGTGCGACAGTTGCAATATTACTCCAGCTTCTTCAGCTTTTCCAATCTCCCAGCCTGCTGAAAAAATTTCTGTTTTGCAGACGTTGCTGAGCAAATTATTTGGTTTCAAGAAGCGTTACGCCCAAACTAGTTCTAACGTTTCTCTGAATTACGTGAAGAAACTCAAAACAGACGATGAATATTATTTTACCAGCACGGAGTTCACAGATTCTGAATTGGCCAAAACTGATATTTCCCCTAACAATTGCGACACTGATAAGTTAACTGACATGTATTCAGACGCTTACAGAAACACAAATACGTACAATATGTCTTCTCAGTTAGGCGTACTTTGCACTGAACTTGACCGAAGTGGTAGCTTCAACGAAGATATAGAAAAGCAAAAAAATAATAATTTAGATAATGTAAGTTGAATATAGATAGCTATTGCACTAGATAAATAACGAAAATAATTATATAAAAGTCAATTCTAACACTAGACAAAAAGGCAATCAAAAGAAGTTATTTACAAGTAAAAAAAGTATGTTTAAATCGTTGAACATTTTTTATTAGCCAAAAAAAATAGTCAAAAATCGTCGCAAGAAAAAACAAGACGTTTAAACTGCAAATGAATTTTTTTGTTTTAAATAAATTTTTTATTTTATGACTTCTCTACTTAGCACATGATGAATTCAATGATAGGCCTGACGTTCCATGCTGAAAACCTAGAGCCTTAAGTCTGATGTTCTAATACAGTTATTTTTTGTTCCATATTCGTATTTTATTATCGCGGTGGCCGGTTACCATTATGTTCGAAGTTAAGTCAAAGCACGCAGAGATGATTGCATTTGCATCATCGTTGGCTTCTTTGTTGAAACACTTGAATTCGTTGACAATGTTTCCTTTGTCAAGGTCCCAGTCAGTCGTTATGCCGTTTTCTCCGAACCCAAAAAGCCTTGAGTCGTTGTACAACTGCAGTAGATTATGTTTAGTCGAGGGCCGATCGAGATTTCTTATGAAGGATCCGTCGATCAGATCCCATTGCTTGCACGCGTCAGCGCCGAGCGAAACAAATTGTTTACGGGTAGGGACGCTTATTATAGAAATGACTGGACGTACGTGTTGTGTTAGGGTTTTTGTGTAGTTTGGCTTTCTCAAATCCCAAAACCTGATAAAACCGTCTTGGTCGCCACTAATTATGTTGGGTTGAAACGCGTTAGTGGCAAGACTTAAAACGGCGTTTTTGCTGTCACTGTATTTAATAACGCTGTCTTTGCATCGCAAATCCCACACACGAATGGTTTTGTCTCGACTTCCAGTAACGATAACATTTAAGTCTGGCTGGTAGCTCATACAGTAAATTGGAGCTAAATGCCCGTGTAGATTACGTATTGATAAGTTGTTATTCAAGTCCCACACTCGACCGTCGCCATCATCGCTTCCAGACACCAACGTGTTTGAAGAGTTGATGTAACTTAAACAGTTTATCGACTGCGCGTGACCCGTCAACGTTAATTGAAGCTTTCCAGTTACAATGTCCCAAATCTTTATCAAGCTGTCTTTGGAGCCTGAGAAAAACAAATTGTTGTTTGGATGACATAGAAGGGCGCTCACCCATTCGGTGTGAGAATTGATAATGAACTTTAGTTTCCAACTTGTTTTGAAATATCTGATTTTTTTTGCCACGTCAGGGGGAATTTCTCGCGATCGCGCCAAATTTGCGAGAGGCTGGCTGAGAATTCTGTTTTTCTCAAAGGACAAATTTTTTTCAAAAACCTCTTTAGCATGAGTGAACAGTTTACGATTATCGTAATCGACAGTGGTGATTGCTTTCGCGTCTGACTCGCTTTCTAGGTTAATTTCGTTCTGTTTTTCGTTAGAATTGAGAATGCTGACAAACTGGCTCAGCTGGCTATTGGAATCATCTTTCAAGTGTACATTGTAACCAGCTCTGCGGGCAAGTTCGAGTGGAGCTTTAAATTTTTTAAAAAACAGCAATTTTGTGTACTGGCTTTTGGCCAGCTCGTCAGAGTAAAGTTGCCCACACTTGGTCAAATCATTTACTAAAATAGATAACTGCAGTGGAAATTTTAAATTACATGTTTTAGAATCTTCCATTAATCGTTTCAATATTTATCTTATAAAATCCTAAATAAAAAATTTATAAATCAAAATTTGGACGGTTTTATTACATTGACGTGATAAAATGAAATAGGTCTAAGCAAAGTGGTTAGCTTTACGATAATTCAAGAACAAAGCTTAGCAAGTCTAATTAGCCTTGGAGTCTTTACCAGACTGCTTGTTTTTCTTAGCTTGTTCCTTTAAAACTGCAACAACACATTTCTTCTCTTCGTATAAAAACGCTCTCATGATTTTTTCTCGAACAACTTTGTGCGATAAACAACCTCCGTAAGGACGGCTGATACGGCGTTGGTGCTTGGAAGCAGCTCGTAGTTTGCGTCCACTGCAAGTCGGTAAACCATTAAGGATAGCCTTGGAGATGGCGCAACGAGGGACACCGACGGTTTTTGGAACCTTTTGGTATACAAGTCGGTTTCCTGGAGTTCTTACAAAACGTCTTTTGTTTGACGCAGTGTTGTAAGTGCTTTGTCTTCTGCAAACTACCCTTTCAGACATTTTCGATATTTCGGTTCTTATTAATTTTTTTAATATAGACAAAACACTTAAACAAATCTGTTAAGCAACGTCGAAATATTTATATTTTAACTAAGCCACATTATGGTGGGCTCTCTATAAATAGTCATAAAAGCTTGTCTGAAGCCCATTTCACCACGAAAAAGTTGCAGTTAAAATTCACAAACTATATCCGATTTTCACAAATTCTTTTATACAAAAAGGAGGTTTTTTAATTACTTCAAATTCCAGATCTGGCAGTTCAGAGTTGACGCCGGGCAAATATTTGTCTAAATTTTCTTTTATTTTAAGATGTTTGGTAGGATAGTACCCCCTAAATGACTTAAACAGAGCCCCAGCGTCTTTGTAATTGTTTTTTATTAATAAGTAAAAAAATAAAGCCGTTCGATTAATTCCGTGTGTACAATGAATTAGTATGGCAGGCACTTTTTCACTTCCGTCTTTGAAATTTTTGTATTCTAAAGCTTGATTGCGTAGTTTATTTCTGATATCGTTCACCGTTTGCAAAATTTGGTCTGTTGTATGTCCAAAATAAAAATTTAAATTGTTATAACGGTAATCTAAAGTTTTTGGAAATCTTTCTGGTGAATAGTATCGAGTGGTGCTACAGAGATTAACAACGTATTTAAGTGTTAAATCGGAGTTTAGGTTTTCTACTAGTCGCTCAGGAGTAAAGCGATCAGGCATCACCTCTGTAGAGTCGGAAGAGGTTTTTTCGCATAATTCCTCAAGATTTTCAGGTTCGACAATATTTAGATCAGTGAACTGTAGACATTTAAAAAAATGTTGGTGCAAAGGACATTTTGTGCAGATAATAGAAAAACAATACGTCACCTCTTCTAAATTAAACTTTGCCAAAAGGTAATAAGGAGGCAATGCATAATTTTTATACTTATCAGGTAACATATAGAAATTTAAAATAAAAAAAATCAATTATGTATTTAGTATATTTTATTTCGAAAAATATGGAACATGTCTGGCGCCGCATTTGCACCGGTGCATATTCATGAATAACCTTGATCGTTGCGTTACAACAATAAAAAATGTAGAAAGAGTACCTATTATTGATGTTGTAAAAGATGTAGGACTCAAACCAGTGCAAGAAGCTAAAAAAATGTCTATTTTCGATTTCAACTCGTACCGTAAGTCGAAAAAAAAAAATTTTTAGATAAATGTAAATGTTACGGTGTTTCACATCACTTTCATGCCCCTTTCTTTATTCCTAGCGAACACAAAGACAGGGAAACCCCAGACTCAGACTTCGACTGGACCACTAGAGGACATCACTTATTTTTGAAAAAGCAGTCGAACTACGGATTCAGTGGACTTGGAATAGGAGGAGCTGGAGATAACGCCGGGGGTTATCTGGGGGGCATGCGAGACGAGAGATCTATGATTACTACTACAGTTCAAGCTATAAATGCTATTCAACCAAATATGCACCACATGGCGACGTTTCTGCCTTGTGGCGAGGCATCAATAGCGAACGTGTTAAAAGAACAAAAAAAATATGTTCCTCGAAAATATTCATTTTTAGATTCATATTGTAAATAAGACTTTATTTTTTGCTTGTTTCTAGATGGTCACCGCATCAATAAAGGCTTTCAGTGAAATCTGCACCAAAGGATTTTACTAGATCAGCGGTTCCAGAATTGTAATTGGAGTGTAACAATGCAACGATAGAAATAATGCAAAGTAAGTTCTAAATCTTTTGTATTTGTTTAGACGGCTATAATGGTTTAAGATTAACTCAAGTCGGTCGTTTGCTCGAACGAAACGGGGGTTTAATGTCGAAAACCGAGACAGGAACCTATAATATGAGTATCTTTAATAGCGGGTTCTACGTAGACGGAAAAAGCGATTCAAGTCATATACCAAATAATCTCAACGCCATATTTGAGATGGATATGCAATCTGTAGGCGGCAAAGAGACCGCATTGTTGAAGGATAATTTTGGCGAGTTCGAAAGAATGTGGGCGAATAGCTCAAGAATGACCTCAGGTAAAATTAACTCTTTAATATCTGCAGCTAAGGTATTGAATGATAGAACTGACGAATCTGAATCCTCAAACAAATCGAAAAACATAAACTCAGCATTCAACGATATCTCTGAAGCTGCAGAACAAATCGATATGGTCAACATCAAGATAAGCGATAAAGAACGCACTAGAATAAAAGAACGACTAAACAAGTTACGGCGCAAAACCAAAGTCATTCTGGAAGGAATAAAAAAACTAGATGTTAATGATGATGTTGTGACGGAAACATTGTTTGAAATATTGAAGATGCGTAAGATGGGATTTGACATTCTTAATAAAGAGCACATTCGCGAGTTTTTCGAACGAACTTTAGTTGTGGATGATTTGAAAAATCATCAAACCGGTGGGACTGGTACGGTACTAGGTGGTACAAAGAAACTAGGTTCAGGTGGGCAGAAAAAAACAAAAGATAGCGCTGGTTTGCCTTTCTCTAAAGCTAAAGTTGAAACGAAAAAAGTGGAGGTGACGAAAACCGCCAAAAAAGCCAGTTTTGCTAAGAAACAGTTCAAGCTTGGAACAAAAGCTCCCCCACCTCCTCCGCCAAAAAAAGTAGTCAAGGCAACAATAGCACCTTCCAATCGTGCAAGACTGAAGAAATTGTTGTGGGAAGCCATCGAGGATGAAAAAGCGGCAAGCCAGATGTATCGAGAAGATATATCTGGCCTAGTAGTCATTGACCCAAACTTAATTAAACAAGACTTTGTTCTTGCAAATCCATTAACTAAAAGCAATGTAGAAGAAAAAGCAGCCAAAGTTACTGTTAAAAAATTGTTTTCAGATCCAAAGAGACACCATAACATGTCTATTGCTACTGCTAAACTTGCTAAACTTAATTGGAACATTTTAAAGCAAGCGTTAATTGATTTAAATCCTGAAATAATCGACCCTGAAGTTTGCAATACAATACTTACCTTTCTTCCAAATTACGAAGAGAAGGAAGCAATCAACTCTTTTGTTACTTCTGGGGGAAACATTTCTGAATGTGACCGGCCGGAGCAGTATGTCCACTGCCTGATGCAAATTCCAAATTACGAGATTAAAATTAGAGCCCACAATTTTGCACTGAATTTCGAGTCCGAATTCAATTCCTTAATCGAGCCAGTGGAAAAATTCGTAAATGGGTGTGAAGCTTTAAATGCATCCAAAAGGTTGAAGAATTTCTTGTTTGTTTCAACGCGTATAGCCTGTGAATTGAATGAAACAACCGTTAGTGGTATTCGTGTGAGTACGTTGAATAAATTTTACGAATATAAAACTACAAAAAAACCAATCATAAGTTTGTTGGAATATTTGGTTACTATTATGCGTAACAACGGTGCGCAAGACGATTTGTTGATGCATGAAGAATTGTTCGATCTGGAGCCTGCAGTCAAGATCGATCTTAAAGGTTTAAAGGGACGTATTGATGAGCTGTCTAACACGCTTAATACGATATTGAACAAGCTTACAGCTATCGACAATAATGCTGACGAAGTTGTAAAACAATTAGTAGCATTTTTTACTCAAGCCGGCAAGAAAGTTCAGGTATTGAAGGAAAAAATAGACTCTGCAGAAAAACTTTTTAAGGAAACTGTCAAACAATACGGAGAAACCGATGAAACAATAAAAGAGCTAAGTATACAAAATTACTTCATGACAGTCACTACACTGGTCAATTCTGTCAAGCAAATACTCGCAGATATTGAAACCAAAGAAAAGAGAGAGTTAAAAAAAGCGAACGAAAAGAAAGGAAAGGTTGAAGCCCAGCCTATTAAAAAGAAAATTAAGAAAGAAGTCGAACTCGAAACCAAGGTCGACATAAATTTGGATAGCATCATCCAATAAAAGTTAGAAATAAATTAATTAGAAATAAATGTTTTGATTTAAAGTAAATTACCGATTATTTGTAATCAATATGGAAAATTGAAGAAATCAAAATCTGATAAATGTCGGTAGTTACTACGGTGAAGTCTTCTAACTATGCAAAAAACAAAAGCGACAAAGATAAATTTTTAGAGCTATGTGAATTAAAGTCTGAATACGAGTTTCTGGAACGCAAAAATAACTTTTTGCGGCTGGAACAAGAACAACTCAAAGAGAAAATAGGTCAGATGCACAGTGAAATAAAACGTGTGCAGCACGTACCTCTCTTAGTAGGTCAATTTCAAGAACTGATAGACGAGAATCATGCAATTGTTCAAGGCATGGGTGGCGTGAGTTTTTACGTCCGCATCCTCGATACTATAAATAAAGAACTGCTTAAACCAGCTGTTAGTGTGGCGATGCACCGTCAATCTCAGGCTATAGTTGAAATTCTTCCTAATAACGTCGATGTGTCTATCAGGAACTATCAAGTGAGTGAAAAACCTGACGTCAAGTACACGGATATTGGAGGTTTAGAAATTCAGAAACAGGAAATACGTGAAGCTGTAGAATTGCCGTTGCTTTGTCCTGAACTTTACGAAAACATTGGAATAGAAGCGCCAAACGGAGTACTGCTGTACGGGCCTCCAGGAACTGGCAAAACAATGCTTGCAAAAGCCGTTGCAAGTTCTTCAAGCGCTTCTTTTTTCAGCGTTGTAGGAAGCGAGTTCGTCCAAAAATACTTGGGCGAAGGCCCTAAAATGGTCAGAGATGTGTTCAAATTCGCCAAAGAACAAGCCCCAAGTATAATATTTATAGACGAAGTTGACACCATCGCAACGAAGCGGTATGATGCGCAAACAGGTGCCGACCGAGAAGTGCAGCGCATACTTCTTGAACTATTAAATCAGATGGACGGGTTTGACCGCAAAAACAAAGTAAAAGTGATAATGGCTACAAACCGTATCGACACTCTCGATCCAGCCTTGCTGCGTCCAGGTAGACTCGACCGAAAAATTGAATTTCCGTTACCAGACAAACGCCAAAGAAGACTGATTTTCCAAAGCTGCACGGCCAAAATGAACCTTGGAGCTGAAGTCGATCTACAAGAGTTTTTCAACAGGCCCGGTGCCATTAGCGCTGCAGACATTGCTGCAGTATGTCAAGCAGCTGGTATGCACGCAATCAGAAATAATCGCTACATTGTCCTTCATAAAGACTTCGAACGTGGTTGGGAAGACCATATTAAGAGCAAACAGCAAACAATGGATTTCTACAGTATGTAATTGCTTAAGGCCGGTGAACTCTCATATTTTTCAATAATGTAAGCTAATATCACTTTAAATTATATTTAAATTATTTATCATATATTATCATTCTTGAAACGGCAAGTACTAATTAGTTAACGTTGCGTTGTGATGTCCATTTTTTTTCGTTTAAGACTCAATACCATAATTTAAACTATATTGTTTGAGTAGTCTTAAACATCACAACGACTCAAGTAGTAATGGATTTATATGATAGTGCCAGACTTTAAGCTGCTATGTAGTGACTGCCAAATTGTGTCAAATATAGATTTCAAAAGATCCAGCATAAACTATTTCTTTAGCCATAATGTGTCTTTGTGTTTTTCTAACGGGCTTAGCCCCGAGAAATTTTTCGATTTACTAGTCGAGGACGAAGTTGAACTTTTGGATATACAGGATACTGCTAAAAACACCTACGTAGAAGCGAACAAAAAACTTTTTTCTCGCATTTTTGATGCTGAATATTCTGTTTCTGCTTTTATTCGTGAACAGTACGATTTGCTTTCTGTCTTGGCAAAAGAATCTGTTTTATTCACCAAAACTGATTCTACTTTGATAAGTGTGAAACGTTTTCAAAAATATTCCTATCTGTTTTTGTCTTACTTAGCGCCTGAAAATCACACGGTCAAAGATGTATTTTTTGATTATTTTACTGGTAGTTGCGATTTGTGTGAACCAAATTCTTTTATTTACAATCAAGTTACTGTGTATGAAAAAAATTTGTCGGCAATTTTTTCGTTCTTCTTGTCAGAGACAAACGGCAACGAGTTTCGCTTATTGATCTTACCTTTTGTATTTAAATTTGCGCTTATACATTTTTTGCTAGAGCAAGGATCTGGAATAAAACAAGTAAAAGAGATCACGTTCAGACTTTTTTTTTTCATCGAAATAAACAAATGTCACCTCTTTCGCAGCAAGTTGTATTTTACCGTTCCCAACTTGACCAAGGAGGAAGAGGTTGAAAATCAGGTTGTTCTTGAGACTTACGTTTCAGAGTATTTTAACTTTGAGAACTGCTTTTTGTGGTTTTTCAAGGACAATGAAAGTTACACTGACGAAAAGTACAATTTAGCGTTGATTCATGAAGAAAAATACCAAACTTACACGTCTGGAGACTTGATTTTCGCCGACGCAATCCACAAGGATCAGCTTTTGAGCACTCTGTTTTATTCAAACATGTTTAGTTCTATCGAGATTCGAAATTATGACTGCCGCGTTTCAGAGTTTGAAAAACTCGTAATTTATGGAGGTATTTTATCAAGCGAGTCGATACATTTAGGTGAAAACATGCCAAAGTTAACTGTTCTCATTCATAAATCGTTGAAAGACAAGATTTCAGTTTCACTCGAGCATTTGGTCACCGCAGTTGACGCCTTTCTAAAGTCTTTAATCGAAATGTCTCAAGAGTCCGACGATTTCCACGATAATGACAATACTGATTACTACGAAGATAAGACTATGGACGAAAATCTATTAAAGAATTACTTAAGACTTAACGACCTGGACGATGAGATGTTTTTATATTTCAGAATACATGAATCTGTACAGGTTTCGTTACAGAAAAAACAGATTAACGATAATAATTTTCAGCAAAGCGGAAACATCAATTTGTATGATGATGTGTTCGCTATTTGCAACGATATCTTTGTCTCTGGCAGAACTATTATATTAGACTCTACCTTACTTCACAACGCTTTCGATTATGGAGAGCATGTTTTAGCAAAAAAACTCGTTTTGCTCGAAATTATTCCGTATATAATTTTTCCCGGTTTTGAAACTGTTTACAACAAAGAAAACAGCTGGTATAGAATAGCGTATAGAAAATACTTGGCTATGAAGCTTTATTATACGTTTAGCAGCTACGTCGATTTGTTGGTTCAGGCTACGAAAATGAACGACCACTGGTGTTTCCTTGTTGAATGTGGCTATGAAATGCAGCCTTTGGCGTGTCGAGATGCAGATTTTGTTTGGAAACTTGATAAGTTGGCAGAACTTCCGTATCAACTAAAGATGCAATTGTTTTTTCTGCATTTAGACTGTTTAATTTCTTCTTTGAGCTGCTCATCGAATATTGTCCCTGGATATTTTTTCAATGCATTTCTTTTAAGGTTTACAGCTGACGGCACCGCTCCGTCTGTTTTGTTCGAGCAATTGCTCAGTGAAATAACGTTTATATTTTTTAACGACAAGATTTATTTGCAAATGAAAAATGATGTTAAACTTCCGAAAAACTTGCTCGACTATTTAAACAAAGTGGAAAACACCAACGATTATTCCGACTTGGATGATTCTATTTTCAAGGGCCACAGTTTGTTCGACTTGTATGCAATCAAGAACGATTTGTTAAATTACGAAACTGCTTATCTGTACGGTCTAGGATGTTGCAACTCTGCGTTTTCATTTTCCTTCAGCATTCATAAAAAAGGCGGAATATTGGAAGAAATTACAGGATACATCGATCAAAAAGCATCGTCACCACCATCTATTTACGATGATCCGCGTCAATTTTCTTTTTGCACAGCTATGAATGCGAATATCGGTCTTTTACAAGTCATATTAAAACAAATGATCTCTACCAATTACATTTTAAATGAGGTTAGTCCATTTCAGAAAAAGATTCAAAAGTTTCAAACGAAACAAAACAAAGTGACTCACGATCTAATTAAAAATGCACTTGTTATGAGTCAGACTAACAAATGTTTTTTAGAAAACATAAAATTTAATACGGATTCTTTCGACTGGAATAGTTGCGAATCTATCATGCGAAATAATCGGTACTTTTACTCTTTTGGGATGCTTGGCTCCAATCTGTCACCAATATGTGGAGGAGAAGGATCACTTTACAAAACCGTGGTTCGCTCTTTAACTGAGTTTTGGAATGACCTTTCTGCTGATGAAAAATGTCTGCTAGCTTCTAATACTCCGCTTATCGAACGCCAAATATCGTCTTCAAACATTCCTAGAATTCCAATTTTCAGTAGTTATGGAACTCCTGTTTGGTTTATAAATGTGGTATTGGCGTCGGCGTTTCAATATATCGATTTATGCGACTTTCTCATAGAAAACCTTTCTACTAAAACGATCTGCAGCTTGGGACCCGATTCACTCGAATTTATGACGTGGCTCCATATTTACCGCTATACGGATTTTGTATTTGAAGAAAGACCTGTACATCTTCCAGCTTCCAGAGATAAGAACGTTGTGTTTCCATTCAAATATGACTTCTACTTTTTTGAAGAAAATCGTGTTACACGTAAATCGATCAAGTCAACCTCTGGTAGTTTTTCTAGTTTAGAATTATTGAGAGACCCAGTAATTCCAGTAGTTATTAACCAAACAAACCGCGTCAAACAAAATAATGTTTTCAATGTCAAATCTAAGTTTATTGACATAATTTCCAATAATGCGTCGCTGAAAAGTTTTCTAAACCAACGAACCATTAGTGACATCCACTACATTAATTCAATATATGACGAAGAAGTTAGAGCAAAATTCACAAACGAGAACAAGCCTTCAGAGTCAACGTCAGACGCTCGTTTTTATCGCAGCTTACCTTTATTTTGGGTTAGGCCATCCGCTGAGTCATTAAATTTTGGAAAGTTAAAAAGATTTCAAAATCGGCGAATGTGGATCAGACAACTCTTAAACGATGTTTCTGTTGAAGCTCAATTTGAAGCGTTAAAGGCTTTGGCTTGCACAACACAAGAAGATGAGTATTTAGAAATTTACTTTCAAGTTGCTACTAACGTATACTATCACGTGTTTATACGACAATTCGCAATTTCACTCATCGAGGGAATTGTCAAAAATATACCTAAATTGTACAATAGTTGTGTTTCAGCTTTAACACACATATTTATTTTTTACACAAGCCCTCTATACTACAACAAACTTCTTAAAAAACATGATTCCAACCATAGTTACGACAAAGATTCTGGCGCTAACAATTTCGACTCGTTGTCCAAATTTGTTTTTTCTGTATCAGATTTAGATGCTTTTCCAATTTTTTCGCCCACTATTATGAGCATAGTGATTACTATTTTGAAAACTTTTTTTCTAATTCGAGATAACAATGACAACTGCCCTGAGATTACTTACTCTTTGATTATTCATTATTTCTCTTCCTTTCCCACTAGTTACGAGCTCGATATCATGTCTAAAATCGACACGTTGGCTAATGATCTTCCAATTACCAATTTTTTATGTAGACTAATCGAAGTTTTAAAATTCTCACCCTTGACTAACGAGACGAAATATTATATCAATATGGACAATTTCAACCAAAAATATGATGAAATATTTAACCGAGAATTTAAAAATTGTATAAACTTAGATAGCAGATCGAAACTCACATTACGAATTCAAGTTTTAAAACAAGAAGTTAACAAGATCGTCTTTGACTTGTTTGAATTGATATATGACCGCGTACAAGTCGAAAAAAACAGCAATAGTGATTTCAAACTTACAACAGCTTTCTTAAAGTTACTGCCTTCGGTTCCGATATTTTTACAATTATATCGCATCTTTGAAAACGAAAATACCAATATATTCAATATATTTCACTACTTTACCCCAGCCTATCGAGGAGGCTTATCTCATAAATACAACTCGCTCGGTGCTGTTATGTACTCACAGTTATACTTAAACACAGTATTCGAAAAATACATGAATAAAGCTTATTCAGACGAAGAACTTTCACTAAATGAAAGTCATGTTCTTAATTCAGTTAAATCGGCTTTAAAATTCAAAAACCAAAATGTTTTAAAAGCTGCTGTTTACTCAACCATTAAAGGTATTTTAAATGGTCAAATTTATTATCACTTTGAAAAGATTTATTCGCATATGGCGTATGTTAATGAAAATCTGTTCTGCTCGGAACAAACTGATAAAAGTAACATGTTCAGCAACGATTCTGCGGATTTTATAAATTATTCTTGGATAAACGATTTAAAAGTTGGCAAATACTTGATTAAGTCAGG